TCGGAAGAGACTCCATGATAAAACTAACTTGGCTCTTCTCATCAATGACAACTCCATTTACTTCTGCCACATTGAAATGGACTATCATGTCCAGGACATGTTCTCTAACTGAGGTCTCTTCTTTCATACGGCAGTTGTAAACGTATTTTATGGCGTCATGTCTAAGGGAGAAGGACAGTTGTCCAAACATCCCTTTCAGAGATTCCATAATCTCTTTAGCAATACCCATAACATCATTTTTCTTAGCCAAAACATCAGATATGCTGGCTAAAATGTACACTCGGGCTTTGTTATTTGCCCTTGTCCATCTGTCATATGCATCCTAAACTGTTCGGTTTGCATTTGAGCTGGGGTTTGAAGGACATTTCTCAGTTAAAACAAACCTTAAATCATCAATTACAAGTATTGTGTTTAGGTTTGATTTCCATGTTGCGTAATTGTCGCCGTTTAATTTCTCAAAAGCGAGTAATTGTATTATTGAGCTTGTCATGCTGTGATATAAAGAAAATTCTATTAGTGAATTGACTTAATCCTTTTTAATCCAATCAGGTTTAGCAAATGTAATAATGTATCCAAAAATTATTAATTTTCAACGATACTTTAGTGAGTCAGAGTAACTGCTATCGAGGGGCAGTCAATCACTCCTTTACTAAACCAAGACATTCTTGACTTAAACACTAATCCTAGAATAACTCTTATTCCTATAATGTTTTAGTTATCGCCACTTTGGTCAAGAATATACTAACTCTTAGTAATTCTTCGTAAGTGTGACCCGCCATTTTCAGGCCTTAGAGATCGACCCCAACAATGCTATCGAATGAAAAAGCCAAAGTTGAGAATGGACCTAAGAAATCCTATCCATTTCTAGAGTTTGCGTTGTTCCTTCTCCCATGTTACGACCCTTTGAATGGGTAGTTGCTCTAGGGCAACATGCAGGCGGAACATAGGAATCTCACGGTGCAACCTAGTGGTGGAAACCATAGGATGTGTTGATATACTTCCTTCCACTTACTATAAATACTTTCTCTATTCACCTTGTTATTGACTCATGCAAATCCTTTCCAAATGGAAGCCGCTCCTAGGGCGACACGAGGCCGAGCATGAATCTCACGGTGTGAATTTTCCAGAGAGCGTAAAAAAAAAAAAAATGATGTACCTCATATACTTTTTTCCTCCCACTAAGTATTTTAGACGGTTGGGTATACTCATTACTTAAGTATATTTTGGCTAATTAAATATAACCTAAGTCTAGGTGATTTTTTCAAAAAAAAAAAAAAAAAAAAAACTTACATCACTCACCATGCTCATAAAACTGGGCTAACTAAGCTCAAGTACTAGTTCGATCTCCTAGTAGGTGTTCCGTAAACTGTCAACTTAAGTACCTCCAGTCTTAGACAAGATCGTGTCAGGTGAGCTTTCTTGTAACCGCAATTTTACAAGATATCGACCTATTTTAACTATGAAAATTGATCGTGCTTGGTTCTTAACCCTAAGTGAGCATGCACTTATCTTTATTATAGATTTTAACGTCTATCTCGTTTTATGACGTTGAAAATAACCTATAACATGCTTTATATGACAATTATATAATCATCCATGCAATAATATAACAATTATATAATCATCCATGCAATAATATAACAATTTATATGTATCACTCATGGAACCTAAACATGCATACTATACATTATAACACTTATAACATACTTGGAATGCATGAAACATGCTTAGCCTATGGTGGGATTTTAAATCTATATGACATACTTTATGCATATATATTTTCTATTTAATTAAAACGTGAATGCATAATTAATTAAACACACTAAAGTGAACTGATTTTGGCATTTTAAAGCAAGCAATTAACTAAATTATTATATTAATAATTAAAAAATAATGTGATCCACTCCCTCGAGCCTGCCGCGGGTCGAGAAGCAAAAATTCTTCATTCTTCTCCCTCGGTTCAGCTTGGCATCATTTCCATTATCGATCAATTACAACCTAAAATAGACTCTAATGACTCCATAAAAGTTACAGAACTTTCTTCACTCATTAAATCTTATACACATTAGGCCAATTATAATAATTGTATTAGATGGAAGCATAAAAAATGCCAAAATCATAAACATCCACTTTAGCATCCACAATTTTTCATTCATGAAATGGTACCCACCATGCTCAAATTAATGTAAATAAAGTGCCTAAAACTTGCTCGGATACCAATGGATGGTGTTGTTGTAATACACCCGGGAGCAATTTGGATCTTAGGCACTCTTAGAACATCAATTATAGTAAATTAACTAGTATGTTCATAAGTATTAAAACTCAAGGATTGAGTACTAACCTTTTGTAGTTCAAATTCCTTTTTCCTCACGAACCGGTTAGAACTACCACTAGTGTCTTTCCTACCGTTCTCCAGCCTTAGAACGAGATTGTGGAATTCGGTGAGTGACTAAACTTGGAAGGGATTTAGTACATGTGAAGAGAGAATTTGTGAGGAATTTTCTCAAGCTTATTGTCAAGAATACTTTCTATCTAACTTAATCACTCTATTTATAGAGCCATGTTTGCATGTTCATGCAAATTTGATATCACCAAATTTTGACACTCAAAATTCCACTCAAATTTGTGGGATTATGTGGCAAACATGCAAGTTTAGTTAAATCATCTATTGACACTCAATATTCCACTAACAATCCATGGAGTGAAGTCAACATTTTGACTTTCTCAATTTTAATTCAACAATTAATTTAAATTAATTAATTTTAAATTAAAGTAATATTAAATGATTAATTAATATTTAACATTAATTCATATGCCAATCTCAATCAATTCCCGCATATATTGATTATGAATCCCTATCCATAATTAAAATATTTAAATCTTATTTAAATATCTCAGATTCTCTCTTTTTGTTTAATTCGTAAATAAATAAAAAATGCGGTTAAATATATCGTATATATTTAGTGCATATTCCCTAATTTGAATTCGAATACTTCGAACTCACTCGTCACAATGTTCTAAGGTTTAGTCCGATGTAAGCTAGCAAGGGGACCTAATGGACCTATAGATCATGGGCTCCAACGATCTGAGATTAACCGGCTAAACTCATTATAACATTCGTTAACTACTAGGGCACTCCACTATAGCCTAGTAGTTACACTCCCCTCACATAGATATATTTCTGTCCATTTGATATAACCATGATTAGTAAGTCGACCCTTCACAGGTTGTTCGTAACTAGAGTTGAGTCAATTTATCGTTTTACCCCTAAAGTTACTTTTTGTTTCTTAAGTCCCACTGATCCTCTAATAAATAATTGGTTTGTGGTTCAACCACCAAACCAAATCCCTCTCGGGCCAATAAGAGGATGGGACCCCTTGTTCAAGACTTGGAGTTAGTACTTAAGGGAACAACCTCTCTACTATCCCTAAAAGCGGGTAGGAGTGAATTCCATCTTACACTCTATGTCCCTAGCTATTCACCCAGTCTTACCCTTGAAATGGGAGGCTTATTGAGTCGGCGAACTCGGCCACTCTCACCTATGCAAATCTAAGGATAATTCTTAATAAACAGGAGTTCATAGTTAGCTCATGATTAAGATCGAGTTACCTAGGTCATCGAATGAAAAAATCAGTATCAACAGTAAACGACATTATAAAGTGAGAGTGATTTTCTTCATGGTCCGATCTTATGCAATACTCATTGCATAGGACACCCCACTCACATGTCTGTGCATATACAATTTAGTGATCACATTGTTTATATCATATACAAAAGTGGGCCGCATCCATAGTGTCCCCAGGATAAGGTACTTAGCCTTATCCCTGTACTATAGATCATTTTGATTATATACTTGAACTTGATCCACTCTTATGTCTCTACGTATAGTTCAAGTAATCATACTAGAGTGTTCTTAGATTATTGAATTTAGATTAATAATAATCATAAAATTCACTCAATTCAATAACAATCTTTACTGAATAAACATCAATAATAACTTTATTGAAAATAGAATATGTTTTTGTTTACAGACTATGAGTTTTTCAACATAAAACCCAACAAAATGTATTTGTAAAACTTGATTATGAGACTTCGTGTATGTATTGAATGACATAATGTTGTGAAGTCAAATGTATAAGAAGACATAATTTCGATAGTTTTCAACACTAGCTGTAAACGTTATACAGTTTCATTAATATTTTCTAAAAATTTATGCAAAAACTGAAATTAATAATAGTTTTAATTTTTAAATTTTTTTTAAGGATAATTCGGAATTTATTTAAAAAATGAAAGAAAATATTGGGTAAAGAGTGGAATATTTTGATTAATATAATATTTAAAGAAATAATTTGAGGGAAAACAAAGAGGATGAGTTAGTTACCCGTACGTGCGTCCACAGGTGATAAAAAAGCAGTTAATAAATCTCAGGTTTGAAGAAGATGACGTAATATTATTTGTAAGAATTGGTAAACGACACTTGTACGCGTTCATGACGAGAGACAGACACAGACAGATCGGATTCATTTGCAATTCCCTATCGCTTTTCCTTTTCCGCCATTGGAGCTCCTTTCCAGTATTCTCTGCTTCTTCAATTCCGCTTCCTTTTCCTCGTCATCCTTATCAGGTAGCTACCTCTTCCTTCATTTCCCCTTCTCACTCCATTCATCATGTTTTTGGATGCCTTTCTTCTTTCTGCTTCTTAGATTCAACTTGTTTGTGTTTTCGTCTTCCTTGATTCCCCTGCTTTTTATCCTCTAATTCCAGTTCCTCGTTTTTTTCAATCGCTTTTCACTCCGATCATTTTTTTCTTTCCCGATACAATGCAATTTCGAGGTTGACTTTCTTGGTTTTTTTTATTGAACTGATTCGATTCCCCTGCTTTGTGTTGCAATTGACGAATGCATTTGCTTCTACGCATGCATGAGCGTTAAAACATGTACTGTCTAGGAGGGGATATATTGTGAATTCCAGGTTGATATATTCTTCTTGTTCTTTTGTTACTTCGTTTTTATTGCTCGAATTCCATGCTTTTGTATTACCTATGATGCATCTACTTGTACTTGTGTGGGGGCGGATGTCTGTACTGGATTTATTATGTCCTCTATGTTTGGATTGAAGTTGGTCCGTTTCTCTTCTGGCTAATAGATTCTTGTCTGGTTGGCTTTTTAATTCGAATCAAGAGAAAAGAAATTTTAATTTCCTATTTGCTCATTAAACTGAAAATCTCTATCACTTTGTGTGTGCGATCGTGTTCTGTATGCTCTGCCAATTGTAATTGTTATGCAGAACAAAATAAGAATGACGTTTGGATTTAGGGTAATTGCCGCTCTTGTTGTATCCTATCTCTTAGATTATTATTGTAGGCTTTATGGATAGAGCTTCACTTATCGCTGTATTCTTTAATCCCCATATTGACAGAAACATGTCAGAAGGCATGAAGTTGGAAAATGGCTCTGTTGAGCAAGATGAGGATCTCCATAACTCTGCAACTGAAAAGGTAAATAGTGCATTCCTTCTTATTTGAATGTTAAAGATGATCAAACCCATTTTCAACGGTATTCAAATTGCTTTAACTTGCGCATAATATTCTATTAAAGGGAACAGGCTCTGTCTTACTGTCCGTTCATCTAATCTACTCATAGGAACGCTTTTTGAAGCTTGAGTAATTATCTAGGAGGAGTATGTCAATTATTTTGCGATTAAAACGTAAACTTTCAAGACTTGTGCCATCTTTTAGCCCAATAAATGCATATTTATTGCAGAGTACAGATAGTAATATATATATATACTTATTTTTTTGAATCAGACAGTATCTACTTTCTCATTTCCTCCTCTGTTAAAGGATTCTCACATATTTCGAGGGGGAAATGGCGCCGTTTTGTCTATGGCAGAAAAAGCAGATACTGAACTGATAAATTAATGGCTACTATTTTAAAAGGAATGCCTAGGTGTGTCCCTGGGCTCTGTGCAGTCATTCTCTTGGCACATTGCTTCCCTAAAATGTACATCTTTGTGTGCTAATTCCTTCCTTGTGAACCTTGTGAAGGATTACAGTGTGAAAAAATATCTGTCTTTAACAAGGGATGCTTCTAGTAATATTAGTTCCCACAGAATGCCTATTTCTATTGATGCTTATATATATATAGCCTGACTAACTTTCCTCAATATGCATAGCCTAGCATTGATCCAGGGCAACCCCCATCACTCACCTGGCAACGAAAACTAAACAGTGAGGGAGTTTCACTTCGGCAGTTCAGGTTGCATCTGAAAGAGATAGTTCATCTGGTATTTTGAATTTCAGATGATTTCTTTTAAGATCTCTATTATACCTTATAACTTTGTGAGCATATATGTCATGGCTGAATGGTTCAGTGTTTCTTGGTGTCCAAGCAGTTAAAAAAGCTTGGTATTCATTATTTTGTTTCTATAATATCAGAATTTGACGGATTTATACTTCCATCTAGGATTGGTCTTCTTTTATAGATATTATTGATCTTCTTTAATAGATATTATAATGTGAAAATAAGATCACATGCTTGCCTATTTTTATAAAATCAATGTTTCTATGCATTATTGGTACTCAAATCATCAAAAGGATGCAGTTTAAACTCATGGTTTGAACTATCAGCCATGATGACTGTGTTCTGTGTGAAATATTACTCACTCCTTTTCTTTTCCAGGCTCCTGTAGGACTTAGGCTAGTCCGCCATATACGAGAAGAATCTGTGAAAGGAAGGGTAGTAATTTTATTGTAGTATGGCCAGTCCAGTTTGATTCTTAGGTTTGTAAGTAAATAGATCTAGAAATTATTGACTACCACTTCTTGTCTGCATTTCAGGGGGCTATGATAAATCCTTTTGTCAGGCGCCAAATAACTGATACTCATGGAATACCTCTAGGTGGTATTGGGTAAGTCTTTCTATCTTTATATTTTTCCCTCTCCAAATTTAGTATAACATGTACAGGACAATTTCTTTACTTGATGTCTGCATTTTTCATTCACCTATCCTCCTTTTCATAATTGCCTGCTTTTAATATTTGAAGATTTAAATACTCTTCCAAATAAAAAGTCAAGTTTAAAATCTGCATTAAGAACATGGAAAAAATTCTTTATATTTGTTTAGCCAGATTGAATAATGCTTAGGACCTTCGATATATATAGGATATGCAAAGTTACAGGTGATAGAAGCAAGTATTGACTGTTCAGATTGAATCAAGAACAATAAGAAATTTAAGCCCCCAATATGTTTTTATTTACATCTAAATTAAAATTTTAAGCAGTAGAAAGAATTTTGAATATCTACAGGAAGTGTACAGATTTCACATTGATCTTTGCATGTAGCTTGTCTGAATTTTATGTTGATGACCTCTTTTATGAAATATGTATCTTTACTTGTAATCTTCCCTTCCATGTGGATCTGCACCGATATTTGGTTATTACTTATGCTTGTTTTATACTGAAGTTGTCAATTATGTAAGCTTTTGGTCCATTGAAATTGACCTGAGAATAATTATATGTAACTATTCTTGTTCTTTGTTCTTTTGTTATTTAACAATCCAAATGTTTAGATCAGGAAGCATTGGAAGAAGTTACCGAGGTGAATTTCAACGATGGCAACTATTCCCTAGAAAATGTGAAGATAAGACAATTTTAGCAAATCAATTTTCCGTGAGTTCATTGAATCCCAATTAGATGCCTTTCTTTGTTTCTTTCTTTCTGTGTCGAGAGGCTTTTTAATGTGTATCACACGTCCTGTGTGTTCATTTTCATCCTTTTGGATTCATTAGTTACCAAAAAAGTTAGTCAATTCAATTATTAATAATAATCTAATTACGAGTACTGCAATAGGTTTTTGTTTCACGACCGAACGGGAAGAAGTATTCTACTGTACTATGTGCACAGAACCCTCAAACCGAGAGGTAGTTACTGAACTTTTTTATGATGTCAAGTTTATCTGCATTTGGAGATTGTTGAATGGCATAATTCAAAAGTAGATGTTTATTTGCCCTCTCATTATCATATACACCATCAGGGATGTTGAATTATCAGGAATTGGGTCTTGGGACTGGAATTTGAAGGGTCATAGGTCTACATATCATGCTTTGTATCCACGAGCTTGGACAATATACAATGGTATTTTTTTAATTCTACATTTTATGCTTCTTAAGTTCATCATCATTTATAAAGTGTATGTCATTTTTCACCCTTTTCCTCCACTGCAGGTGAACCGGATCCAGAACTTAAAATAGTTTGCCGTCAAATTTCACCTATTATTCCCCATAATTACAAGGAGAGCAGTTACCCTGTCTCGGTTTTTACTTTCACGGTAGAACTGCATTTCTGTATTCACATTTATTTTATTTTATTTTTTGCTGTTGTTGGTTTGTCTTATGAATTTAAGTTCACCATTGGTCTCTTGATCTATTTTTCTTCAGCTGCACAATAGTGGAAAATCAGCTGCTGACGTCAGTTTGCTTTTCACCTGGGCAGTATGTGTTCACCATGAATATCCATTTGATTTCTATAATTTCATTTTCTAATGCTATGTCATGAACTAATTATGATTCTTTTAGATTGTTACTTGGAATTTGTCTAGATTTTATCCAGAATCATGAGATTCTTTGGACTTGATTTTTCTTTTTCCGTGCTATTCAGAATTCAGTGGGAGGGATTTCTGAATATTCTGGTAACCATGTCAATTCGAGAACAAAGTAAGAAAATTACACTGCTGAACCTCATTTTTATTCTTTATGACCTGAACTATGACTGCAAGTGTTAATTAAATTAAAATTTTGCTCATTTATTTGTATTAGAATTACAATTAATTCAAAGCTGACCTACAATATTTATAAATTTTTTAGGACAAAGGATGGTGTGCATGCTGTGCTTCTACATCACAAGCAAGTGCTTTTCTCAGTTATTTATTCCAAATAATGTAAATAGAAAGGGGATTCGGATAGTGTATGATTAGTGCAATAGCTATAAATTTTCTGTTTCTTATCGTCTTCTTTATTAAACATTCAGGACAGCAAGCGGATTACCCTCTGTGACTTATGCTATCGCGGCACAGGAGGGTAATGACATTCATGTCTCAGATTGCCCTTGTTTTGTAACATCTGGTAACTTCCCGGGTATATCGGCCAAGGATATGTGGCTTGAGATCAAAGAGGTATTTAGCTTGATGTATTTTACATCATTTCCTGATGATGCTTAGAGATTAGAATGCATGTCAACTTTTATGACTCTGAGATTTGGATATCTTAAGAAGCGAATGATTTTGTTGAAATATTCTTTTATGTAACTGAGATGTGTGCGGTTTTGAACTTCATCACTCTACCTCAAATTCTTGGACACCTTAGGTAATGAATGGTTTTACTTAGAACTCGTTTGGTTTCAATTGGAAGCTATTTTTCCTATTGATTGCTCTGATTAGAAGAGAAAAGATAGGAGAGAAATGTTCGAGTTAGCAAAATCTCATGTAACTCTTCCTTGGCTTTTATAGATAGAGTTTAACAACTATACTCCCTTTTGTAGTCACACAAATTGAGGTGAAATTTTCTAAGCTTCGTTGTGACTTTGTTCTCTATGTAATACTTGGTATGGTGGACCTTTTATTGTAATTTTTCAATAATTATTGAAAAGTCTTGTTTCTTCTTTCGAAAAGAAAATTGAGACTCTTTTGCTCCCTTGTTTTTCACAAAAAGAAAAATATACTGCTTTACTGACTACACTACAGATTTCTAGTGTTATTATTTTCTTCATGTTTTCACCGTTCATGATGCAATTCTTATTAAAATCGTCATTTGTATTAGTACTTTCCTTTTGGAGCTTGATATATGTCTATTTTTTTCTAATAGCATGGTTCCTTTGATCGCCTTAACTCTCCTGACATGTCAATGCCCACTGAAGTGGGTTCATCCATTGGTGCGGCTATTGCTGCTTCAGTTACAGTTCCACCTAATGCAGTTCGTACTGTTACATTTTCGTTGTCTTGGGACTGTCCCGAAGTGAACTTCTCTGGAGGAAAAACTTATCACAGGTCAGTGGAAAAATTGTACAAGAAATGATACAACCTGAATCAATCATTATTTACGTTGTTAAAGAAGATTTTCTATGCAGGCGTTACACAAAATTCTATAGTAACCTTGGAGATGCTGCTGCCAATATTGCACGTGATGCAATACTAGGTAAGTTTTAGTTGTGCCATATAATTAGATTGTCTGAACCCCAATTTCTCTCTCTCTCTCTCTCTCTCTCTCTCTCTCTCTCTTATGCGTTGAAAGTTTAGTGCTTAGATTTTTTTCCCTTCTAAATTCAACTTAGATACATTTATATTAGCTCCGGTACATTATCGTTGATAACAAAAACCAAAAGTTTTTCGAACAGAGCAATAGTAGGTGAAGCAGATACGGTTGTGACGTAGGTTTGAATCCCCACCCTTATTTGTGACATGATATTCCCAAAGCAAAAGGTTTTCCAAGAAAGTAGGGCTTTAATGAAGTAATTGAGAGGCTGTTAGTATTGTATGATTAAAAAAGTAGCTGAAGGGTTGATGCATTAAATTAAGTAGGTAAAGCAGATGCGATTGTTTTTCATGGAACTTCTGGTTGTATAACTCTCGTAGAAACCTTTAATAACATTTTAGTGTTTTCCCTACAATTGTCAAGAGCATTGTGTCTTTGAAGCCTTGCTTTAGTCTTGCATGTTTGGTGGTCACCAAACTTGGGGAGTGTTTGGGCCTTGAATGAAGATTTTTTTAATTTTTTTTTTATTAATAAGGTTATGATATTAGAATGTTCCTCATCTTGATCCATTTCCCATGAGAAGGAACAACGTTCATCTAGATCCATTTCGCACGAAAATATGTTATCTTAACACCCTGTGTTTCTGTATCTGACTTAGAACATCGTCACTGGGAGTCCCAAATTGATGCTTGGCAAAGACCTGTGCTTGAAGACAAGAGGTTTCCTAAATGGTATGCTTAATTATATCAGTTATTGTTAATTGATTTCTTCAGATTTTGACGTCTCCCGATTTCTGCAGGTATCCCACGACTCTCTTTAATGAGCTTTATTATCTAAATGCAGGAGGGACTATCTGGACAGGTATATCTAACCTAAAAATTTAAGATTGTTTCTTGTCATTTTGATTAAAACTGTATCATTTTCTTGAAAATGTTTCTATAGATGGGTCACTTCCAATTCAGAGTTTAGTAAGCTTTGGGGAAAGGGGATTTTGCCTTGACGAATGCAGATTTGGTCTGCAGAGTGCAGTTGATGCATCCCATGAAAATGACACTGCTAATGATATTCTTGGGAGGATGACTTCAACACTTGATGAGTTACGCAATTCTGGCACATCAAATTCTGCATTTGGACTAAATCTGCTACAAAAGGGAGAGGAGAATGTTGGCCAGTTCCTTTATCTTGAAGGGATTGAATACACCATGTGGAATACCTACGACGTTCATTTTTACTCGTCTTTTGCAATAATAATGCTATTTCCAAAACTTGAACTCAGCATTCAACGAGATTTTGCAGCGGCTGTAATGATGCATGATCCCAGCAAGATGCAACTTCTAGATAATGGGAAATGGGAAGCAAGAAATGTTCTTGGAGCCGTTCCTCATGATATAGGAGTTAATGACCCGTGGTTTGAAGTAAATGGATATAACTTATATAATACAGACAGGTGGAAGGACTTGAATCCCAAATTTGTGCTTCAAATTTATAGGGATGTTGTTGCCACAAGAGATACGAAATTTGCAAAGGCTGTCTGGCCCTCTGTATATCTCGCCATAGCTTATATGGACCAGTTCGATCGAGATGGCGATGGGATGATTGAAAATGATGGCTTCCCTGATCAGACTTATGATACGTGGTCCGTCACTGGTATTAGTGCATACAGTGGTGGTCTATGGGTGGCAGCTTTGCAGGCTGCTTCCGCCCTGGCTCGTGTAGCTGATGAAAAGGATGCTGAACACTATTTTTGGTTCAGATTTCAGAAGGCAAAACGTGCGTATGAGAAATTGTGGAATGGTTCTTACTTCAACTATGACAGCAGTGGCGGGAGTTCAAGTTCATCTATTCAAGCTGATCAGTTGGCTGGACAGTGGTACATTTATAAACTATCTTGAAGTTCTATAATAATAATAATAATAATAATAATAATAATAATAATAATAATAAGTTCAGCATTAATATAAAAATCTCTATGGTCTTCTGATGGAAGCTTAATATTTATGTGAAAGGTATGCTAGAGCCTCAGGTCTTCTTCCCATTGTTGATGGAGAGAAGGCCAAGAGTGCAATGGAGAAGGTATACAATTACAATGTGTTGAAGGTGAAGGGTGGGAAGCGAGGTGCGGTAAATGGGATGCTTCCTGATGGAACAGTGGACTTTTCATCAATGCAGTCAAGAGAAATATGGTCAGGAGTGACATATGCTGTTGCTGCTACAATGATCCATGAAAAATTGACTGATATGGCATTTCGAACAGCGGAAGGGATCTATGAAACTGCATGGTCAGAAGATGGCCTGGGGTAAGTAAGATCATATATATTTTTCTTTTTCCTCTTCCATTGTGTACACTGTTTTCAATCAAATCCCAGATGAACTTTCAACTGTCATATTTATGAACTTTTTGTTGTTGGTTGTGGTTAGATACAACTTTCAGACACCAGAAGCTTGGACAACCACAGATCGGTATCGAGCGCTGTGTTACATGCGACCTCTTGCGATTTGGGCTATGCAATGGGCACTTTCAGAAAAAATATCCATCATTGAGGAGTTGAAAGAACTTGACAATGAGGCCATATTAAGGCACCATGCCAAGTTTTCCAAAGTTGCCCGCCTTCTGAAGTTGCCTGAAGATGGGACATCTGCAAGTGTTATACAAACGGTCTATGATTATACTCTGAAGAGGTTTTTCTAGATTCTGTCAATCCACTTTTGGTTCGATATATTATAATAAACTAAAAGTATTACTTGTACCTTCTTCATTCTGCTGTGAGTTTAAGATGAGTGAATCTAAATCTCTAAAAGCGGTCTTAAACCTCTGGGTTTGATCAAGGATTATTTCTTCTTAAAGACAGTAACATTCTGGATCTATGAATATGCTGAATGCTGAATTGCTGCGGTGGAATAAAGCTGTTATTCTTGGGCATGGTGCTTGACGTGGATCCTAAACTTTTTGTTTTGGCGTTTGTGTGTGTATTTGCTCATTTTAGTTTGGGAAGGGACCCAAAAAGATTAGGTTTAATAACAAAACCCAAAATGACAATTTTTCTATAAGATGACATCATATGAGTTCTTTTTAAAAAAAATTTATTTTAAAAATTTGGGTTATATTTTATTTTGCCCAAATTTTTGGATCATTCATGTCATTACATGAAAAATAAGGGTGAGTAAAAAATACCTAATAAGTAGCCTACTTGTAGAAGGCTTTTGATTGTGTTTAATACTTAATAAATAGCTTACTTGTAGAAAGCTCTCGATTGTGTTTATGGATGTATGTAGCTAACTTACCACACTCTTAACCCTTGATCATTGGCCTTGTACATATATGAAGGTCCACTCTTAAGAACCTAGGTCTTGAGTCCTTGATTTGTCTAGGCCTAAGTATCGTTCTATGTACCCATGTGGTCCCTCGTCCCTCTCAAGATGGGTTTATGAAATGGATGTTCTATCCCGACACCCACGTTCATTTCTACACACAAAACATAGAGTGATCTAGCCAAGACAGTGCCTTAGTTTCAAGACTTATGTCTATGTTTTGGCTAGATCACTCTAAGTCACATGATTGGTATAAAAGTTGAGGTGCTCTCTTGGCTAGATCACTCTAGGTCTAGGTCCCATAGTTGGTACACGGGAAGAAAAATCATGCATGTCATTCTATCAATCCCGAGGAAACCGTGAACTCTTGGCATACCAAAAACGTGGGAGGTCTTCAGGGACTTAGAGTAGTCACTAGGCTAAGCTAGGTTTATTTCATGATGTGAAACTTAGCTATCAAAGCATTACGTTAGGCATGTAGTCGGCCGGCTATACTTTAGAGCAAAACTATAGATTTTAAGTTCATCCTCTACAAGCTGAGTGCACAACCAAGACATCTGATGTTTTACTTGCTCCCAATCACTTTATTTCATTTCATTGCAGGCATATCAATTTCATACTTAAAACGTATTTGAATTATTATTAAATCAATTAAATCTTACTCATAGATAATATGTCAATTTTCATGTTATTTAAAGTTCATTTGGATCATAAAATGTATTAGAAGGCATTTTCGTCTTTTTTACCATTAATGATCGTTTAAGCCCTAAAAATACTCCGAATTTAAATGTATTAGAAGGCTTAATTTCAAAGTTTTATACTGAGTAGAGTCCATTAAATCCTAAATTCTCCCTATTCACTTAGTATCAACTAACACTTAACTTTAAAGGTCTAACCAAGTGATTCCTATAAGTATAGTTTGAGAAAAGTTTGTTTAGACGTGTTCGAGAGCTCGATTTGGTTGTTTGTTTGACAATTTAATCTCATGGCAAACTTACGAGATAGTGTTGAGTAGAGATTCTTGAGTTATATCGGATGTTATGACAAGTTTGCACCATATGCATAGTAAAAATGTAATACAATTTTTCATCCTCAAACCGATGGCTCAACCTAAAGGTTGAGTCATACTTGAAAAACACATGTTGTGAGTTTATATTCATCTGCGGGTAATTACTCGTGCATATTCCATGTGTGATTCTAACAAAGTTACAAACATGGTTGTTCAAGAGAATAGATGAATATACGTACAACACAAAGTAGACAAAATAGTTTGGTATTTGGTATAGAAACTCGGAGTACGAAGACACGTACAATGGATGAACGGAAGGATGAGATGATGAATAAGTTTTCAAGAGATTTCAAAGATTATGAGGCTACCTTATCTAGTCCCCTGTAGATGAACAGTCATGTATGAATCTTTTAATGAATAATAAAAAAAAAAAACAGTTTGGATTATACCGATTTGCACAAATACCTCGGCGATAGTATAATTTCAAACAATATGTGGTTAACCTATCATGATCATGTTTAAGCGATAATTCAAAGGGTCTATAGTATATGCATAATATTGGGAGCCTTATCTGGTCCCCTGTAGTTGCATAGCTCTAGTATGCTCCCGACATCAACTTCCAGGTTATTGTTCGATCTGTAAAAACAAGGTATAACACAAATGAATATAAAAAATATACCAATAACGTGCATGTGAACTCTAATTGAATCTCTATCCTATTAGCTAAATACTACATACATACATGGTAGACTATATCAAGGGAACCATAAGGTACTTTAGCCTATTCAAAGCTTCTAAATTCTTTTTAATTTCTCTATCTCTTGAGTTCCCTAGTTCTTACCCTATCGGGTCTTTGCTGACTCTCGAAATCTATGGCTCATAGTTCATCTTGGTTTGGTGCAATTGAGGCGCAACTTGTGTGTGATACCTCATCATGTTGTTTGTGAATACACGCTTACTTATCTGAGTTTTGTGTGAGCCCCTCAAGAGTTCTAACTTTTTTAGAAGCTGTGGTGTTCACCTAAGTTAATTCCCATGAATTTCTTGTGACTAGCTCAATCGAGGCGGCTCTAATTAGGGTACATCTTCACTCGAATCATCTTAGCACATCAACCCATTAGGATTTTTGCAATAAATCATAGAGTACACTTGAATCATTTTTTACTATTGCCCTGTGCGGTATCTAGCTTCTTCGTCTAGGAAATTTTGATGACTAATTCATCTCATCGTGTTCAAATTAACATTGAATTTGCCCTATTCCTAAATTCTATCTCAGTGTAAGGGGCTCATTCTTGAATTATCTAGTTCAATTCTATTGAACGAGTTTCAATCTAAGGAACATGTCGTACATTCAAGCTCATTTAACCCTAATCATGATCCTAGAGTTTGCTTATATATATCATCAGCAAAACTGTTCACTTAATATCTTCTAAATAATAGTAAAGGTTATAGACGTGCAAATCTCATGTACAACACATATATTCCATAAGATTGGTACGTTGAGAACATACATAAGAACCATATTCTCTTATATCGAGTTAATCCAGCAAACAAATGGGCCATAAAACCAATGATACATTCTAGGCATGCATATTTTCATGATAGGGACTTATCATGAACTTATATACTTAAAAAAGAAAAAATTATTTAAGGACTTGGTTGGCCTAAAACATGCTTAGAGTCCAATTACATTTTACAAGGTCCTATAGATCAAAAGAAGTTCGTAGACAGTGGTTTAAACATGCATAGGAGATCATGCTCAACTAACATAACATTCCAAGTCAACTCCCACTAGTATTTCTTAAAAAAAAAAAAAACATCTAAGATAGTTACTTACATATTCGGGACCTTGATTTATGTACGTTTGGGACTTGAATGTCAATAAATTTCTTTGACGCCGATCAGGCCCTTCCACGCGTTATCTTTCCTCCATTTCTTCTACAAACCTGTAAGTATACTCCTTATGACTCCAAAGGAAGAAATATTACCTTCTTCCATTTAGAAATGAAGGAAAATTTTGAGAGCAATCGTGTTTTTGGGTTTGATTATTGAGTTTATAACTCGAAATAGTTTTAGAATTTGAACGACTTTTAGCCCTCAATCCCTGAATGGAGTTGTTGCCTTGTCACTAAGTTGTAGGATTAAAACCTTAGGCAATGACATTGAGTGTGGGGACGGAGTTTTGTTCTTGAATCTTCTAGACAAAAAATTTACCCAAAATTATCTTTCTTTAATTGGCTCGATGTAAGTCTCCTCAACCCTCAATTCCTTCATCACTTTTGTTCTTTGAACTTTTGATATCAAAACTCTCATAATTTGTTTGGAGATTCTCATCGACCAGTTTTACCTTTGTTTTTTTTAATTTTTTTTTCTCTCTATTTTTTAGTTTTCAATTGGGTTTTTAAAACAGAGGTAGAATATATATATATATATATTTGGACATGGATGTATTTATAGACTTAATTTTCAAAAACTAAAACATTTAAATAGCATATACACAAACTTCTAATCAGTGTTGGAAACTATAAAATACTTGAATAAAATTGAGTAGTCAAAAATTGTTTGGTAAAGTAAGATTAAGGACCTATTTTCAACTCTAGAGGAATCCCATGTTGCTAGATTTGATATTAGATGTGGTCTTTTAAGGTAGATTGTGCCACCAACCATTGCTGAGCTTGGTAATGCCAGCTTATAACTCAAATGGGGGCAATAAATTGGATGGAGGTTGGCTCAACCCATTGGGTAGGGTCCATAGAGTGAATATTTGGCGTGTCCATTCCAAGGTGGGAGTTGGGCTGTTGTCCATGGGTGAAGGCCCATGGATAGCTGCACTTAGAGACGGAGGAAACCGTGTGAGGCTGGCTTCACAGAACAGCGTAGTAACCTCCCTTTCTTGTTGGTGGAAGGATAGTAGGCCGATTCTCCATATCCCAATAATACTAATACTTGGTGGGTAGTCCTCAACTCGACAACCACTTTTTCTAAACGTTTTTAATTTCTCTATCTCTTAGGTTCTCTAAGGTTCTCTAGTTCTTATCCTACCAAGTCCTTGCTGACTCTCGGAGTCGATGGCTCATAATTCATTTGGGTCTGATTGCTTGTCAATGCATGCCTACTTATCTGACTTTTGTGCGAGCCCCTCAGGAGGTCTAACTTTTTCCGAAGTTGTGGTGCTCACCTAAGCTAATTCCCATGAATTTCTTGTGACTAGCTCAATCAAGGCGGCTCTAATTAGGATACATCTTCACTCGAATCATCTTAGCACATCAACCCATAAGGATTTCTGCAATGAATCCTGTAGTACATTTGAATCATTTTTTTTTTACTTTTGTCCTAGCTTATTTGCTTAGGGCATTTTGATGACAAATTCATCTCATCATGTTTAAATTAACATTTTAACATTGAATATGCCCTAGTCCTAAATTCTATCTTAGAGTAAGGGGCTCATTCATGAGTTATCTAGTTCAGTTGTACTGAACAAGTTTCAATCTAAGGAACATGACGACATTCAAGCTCATTTAACCCTAATCATGATCCTCTGACATATATCATCAGCAAAATTATTCACTTAATATCTTCTAAATTATAGTAAAGGTTATAGA